ATAATATATGACAATAACGACTAAAGAATTAAGATATGCAAGATATTATCCAAATTCGGATGACGCAGAAAGTGACATGTATTAATTAACGAAAATAATTGGCTACGTAAGCAGGAAAATTTAGAGTAAATATTTTCTTAATGTGATGTTTTTAAACCAGTAGCTCGAAAATCTTCAGATACGATCAAATCAATCAATGTGCAATAGCAATTACTACAATAATAATAAATAATTTTAACAATAACAACAACAACAGCAATAATAATAATAATAATAGAATTGCAGGTGCTTTTATTGTGGCTTTTAATTGGCTTGGCTTTTTTTTTTTTAAAGAGAAAAATTTGCAAACTAGGACAAGTTTGTCCAGTTGCAGTTCTATGACAATATTATTTATTACATAAGATTAGGTCATAAATGTAATACGGACCACAGATAACATATAAAATGACAAAAGGGCTACATTCCTGTCAAACTTTTAGGAAGAAAGCAACTTCATAATAAATTTACGGACTTAACACGTCACATGAGAACTTGGGAATTGCTTACCAAAACTTGATTCTTTGGGAATATCTTTTGTCTTCATACGTATCTTAAGTTGTTTGTCCACACGGGACAGTTGAGATTCCTAGAAAAAATCTCAGTGTGTACATTTCGTATTCATATAGGATTTTGAAAAGATCGTATTTCAAAGAAGTGTAACGTAGGTCGCCTATAAATATAGTAGTTAATTTTACGGTTCATATCCATAACTTACATTACATGAAATCAATTTTACTGTTGCTCAAAGGCTCTCCGTTCGAACAGTTGAGATTCCTGTGGACTCAATTCGAAGCAAGACATTTTTAAATGCTCTGAATTGATAATGGAGGAATTAACACACTGATAGATGAGGCATTTGCTCCATACAAATTTTAGGTTTGTTTCTTTTGCTTCATATGCACTTAGATAGGACTTAGAAGTCAGAATGTTATTTACGTGTTAATATCTCAGATTATTTGCTTCAACTCCAATTGGACCATTTCTATGTTAGCAAGAAAGACCATTTTCCAGAGGTAATGGACTTGCAGTTAGTGGTTGTTTGTTAATTGAAGAAATAAGACATTTTCCTGAAATAATAATGGGTGTCCGAACTACCTTGTCTGTAACTAGACTAATTTAGTATCTTTCACTAGCACATATATCAAATTCTTTTATTCACAAAAATGCCTAATATTATTATCTCCGATGAAATTTAAACATAAAATATAATGGTTATCAACCCACTTTATTGAAGAAATAAATAGGACATAAGCACGGTTGATTTTTTATCGAGAGTAGTACAGTAGAATTATTATAATGTATAAAAAGATATACGTTCGTCCGCGACACAATTATATAGGGACCTTTCTGTGAGTTCCTTTTATTGTTTTTACCCTAATCATCCGACGGATCCATTTAAGACTAGTAGCAATGTTTGGATAGAAATGATGTTGAAGAAACTTGTAAAATTATTGAAACTTTGTTTCTAATACAAACAATCTTTCTGGAAATTAAACCAAGAAATTTTAGAAATCAAATACAACTTAAAAGTAAGTTTTTACAAACAAAATAAAAAAACTAACCTAAATGTTCACCATCTATTTTTGTTAAAGCACAACTTTCTCCAAATTTGTCAACTATTTAGTTTTTGTAAATTCAGTCAAACCAAATATAAAGTAGGATAATTTGGCATTTCCTACATGTAAAATTACAATGAATCTAATTCCTTTCATTAGTATTGGAAGTGTCTTCAGATCCGCTATCTCTAGTCCAATCGATAAAAGCCCAATACAGAAATAGGCCAGAGAAACCAAATTGTCTCCCACAACATTGTTTTACGTTGGACCATTGCATAGGACCGACCGTAGGTACTAATAAATTGGGAAAACTACATAGTATTGACGCTCTTTAAAAATAATAATAGGCAAATATATTTTTTCGTATATTAATATAATTATACATATACATCTTTTATATTTGACCAAGAACGTCTCAATAAAACTCGTGGTCTAAAGCCAAATTTTAATAAGAGGTTTTTTTTGTCTTTAGTATAGTTATATAACAAAATATGATATTAATATTTATATTGTCGCTTTTTTCTTTCTTGTTGTCTATATTACAACAACAACAAACAACAACTACCCAGTAAAATCCCACCAAGTGGGGTCTGGGGAGGGTAATGTGTACGCAGACCTTACCCTACCCCGACAAGTGGGGTCTGGGGAGGGTAATGTGTACGCAGACCTTACCCCTACCCCGATTGGGCAGAGAGGCTGTTTCCGATAGACTCTCGGCTCAGAAAGATGGAAATAAGAAAAGCAAGAAAAGAAAAGACAATTCATTAGTAACTCCAGTAGAAATCGTAATAGTAACAGAAGCATAACAATCAAAAGATGGATGACATGCAATAACAATAACCAGGCCCGGGGCTCAGATAAACAGCAAGTATAGTGTGTATTTTGTTGTCTATACTATTATCTTATAAAATATAATATTAATATCCACATTGGTAAGAAAATTCAAAGTAACAAGATGTTAACCACGTATTTACAATGCGTTATCTTGGGTAAAGAACATCATTTACCAATATGAAGATTTGAGTAACTTAATTCAAAGTTCTAAAATATTTCTTTCTTTCTACTTTTATAAGTATTTTGTATTATTTTTTCAATAACTTCAATATTGTCTAACGGAAACAAGATAACTAACAATAATTTTTGAGACCCGAAAATTTAGGAGGCCTGAAGCAAAAGCTATACTAGCTGGCCTCCCCATTGAGCCATCCCTAAAATTGACTAGCGAATATAATTATTTTTTACATACCAGCACTTGCCCTACTAAATTTTGGAGGTTGAGAAGTGAGGAATTTGGAGTACTTCTCAATCTCATTGGTATGCAACAATTAAATATCGTTTGCACAGGCTAATTCTTCATGAAGTAGCTCTCATTTATTTGTCACAGAAAAAATAAAATAAATATATCGTTGATCATCTCGACACATCTGTTGCGTGTGGAATAGCTTTTCAATGTAGACTGCCAACGACACAAATCTTAATGAATCTTCAATAAGATCTTTTGCTGCAATTCCTGGAAAGAGAAAATGTGGCTAATTTTTTCTTTGCATCATATTGCATACTCATCCAATCTCATGAAAGCAAGCTCAGAAAGCTCTATACACAGTTTATTACGTTTAACTTAGACAAAAATGATAAAAGAGACAGAGGCCAATATGTTGAAGACTAGCATTCTGGGGTCAGAAAGGACGGGGGCTTTTAATTAGTGATGTAATAAACATTCTTGTAATATACAACAACAACAACAACAACAACTACCCAGTAAAATCCCACCAAGTGGGGTCTGAGGAGGGTAGGATGTACGTAGCCTTACCCCTACCCTGGAAGGGTAGAGAGACTGTTTCCGAATGACCCTCGGCTAAAGAAAGTAAAGGAAGCTCTGATAGCAAGTGATAGCAAGACAAATAGTTAGAAAACTAAATCGGAGATAACAACAAAGAATAGCAAGATAGTACCGATAACAAGTAATATCAAGATAGTATATTTAGACAGATAAGTCCAAGGCAGCACACGAGAATATGACGAATCCTGCTAGCAAACTACGGAATTACCGAAGGTAAGTAGTAATAGAACAAGACACGCGGCTATAGCAAACTAAGGAAAAAAGGGTACCATACTAGCACTAATACTACCGAACTAGGGAAGACACAGGGAAATGCCCGACTACCTACTAACCTTCCACTCTAATCTTCCACCTCCACACCCCTCTATCTAGGGTCATGTCCTCGGTCAGCTCAAGCTACGCCATGTCCTGCCTCATCACTTCACCCCAAGACTTCTTAGGTCTACCTCTACCCCTCCTCTCACCTCCCAAGGCCAACCTCTCACGTCTCCTGACTAGGGCATCTGTGCTTCTCCTCTTAACATGCCCAAACCACATCAACCTTGCCTCACGCATCTTTGCCTCCACAGGGGCCACTCCCACCTTGTCCCGAATAACTTCATTCCTAATTCTATCCAATCTCGTATGCCCACACATCCATCTCAACATCCTCATTTCCGCTACTTTCATATGCTGGACATGTGACTTTTTGACTGGCCAACACTCTGCCCCATACAACATAGTCGGTCTGACCACTACCTTGTAGAACTTACCCTTAAGTTTCAACGGCACATTCTTATCACACAAGACACCGGAAGCGAGCCTCCACTTCGTCCATCCTGCTCCAATATGGTAAGTAACATCCTCATCGATCTCCCCATTCATCTGAATTATAGATCCCATATATTTGAAACTCTCTCTCTTGGGAATGACTACCGTATCGAGTCTCACATCCCCGCCCGCCTCCTGGGTAACACCACTGAACTTGCACTCCAAGTATTCTGTCTTGGTCCTGCTCAACTTGAAACCCTTAGATTCTAGAGTATGTCTCCAGACCTCCAGCCTTTCGTTAACGGCACCTCGCGTCTCATCAATCAGGAGTCAGGACTATGTCGTCCGCAAATAACAAGCACCAAAGCACCTCCCCTTGGATGTGACGCGTCAAAGAATCCATCGCCAGGGAAAACAAAAACGGGCTGAGTGCAGATGCCTGATGCAACCCCATCTAAATCGAAAAGTAGTCAAAGTCTCCTCCTGTTGTCCTTACCCGTGTCTTAGCCCCATCATACATGTCCTGGATCACTCTAATATATGCTACAGGCACACCTCCCGCCTCCAAACATCTCCATAGAACTTCTCTCGGTACTTTGTCATAGGCTTTCTCCAGGTCAATGAACACTATAAGCAAATCCTTCTTCACCGCCCTATACCACTCTACCAATCTCCTCACAATGTGTATGGCCTCAGTACTCGACCATCCCGGCATGAAACCGAATTGGTTCTCAGAAATGGACACACACCTCCTCAATCTCCCTTCAATCACCCTCTCCCACACTTTCATCGTATGGCTTAACAACTTGGTACCCCTATAGTTGTTGCAGTTTCGGACATCCCCCTTGTTCTTGTACAACGGGATCATCGTACTCCGCCTCCAGTCTCCGGCTCTTCTTCGTCCTAAAAATGACGTTAAACAACCTAGCAAGCCAATCCAAGCCCTCCTTGCCCACACTCTTCCAGAATTCCACTGGGATCTCGTCCGGCCCAGTCGCTCTACCCCTACTCTTCCTGCGCATAGCCTCTTCCACCTCCCCCACTCGTATGCGCCTACAGTACCCAAAATCTCGCTGCCGCTCCGAGTACTCCAACTCCCCCAATGCGATGCCCCTATCTCCCTCCTCGTTCAAGAGTTTATGGAAGTACGCCTGCCATATCTGCCTGATCTGTGCCCCCTCCAATAAAACTCTTCCCTCCTCGTCTTTTATGCATCTCACTTGGTCCAGATCCCGGGCCTTTCGCTCCCTCACCTTAGCTAGCCTATACAATTTCTTGTCCCCGTCTTTATCCCCAATTTCTTCGTATAGACGACTAAACGCCGCGGCCTTAGCTGCCGTAATCGCCAACATCGCCTTTCTCCTAGCCTTCTTGTACCCCCTCCCTGTTGGCACTCTTCCGCTCCTCGTCTATACTCTCTACTAGCTCCAAATATGCCGCTTTCTTTGCTTCCACTTTTTCTTGCACCTCTTCATTTCACCACCAGTCCCCTTTATAGCCACCATAAAAACCCTTTGAGACCCCTAACACCTCTCTCGCCGCCTCTCTAATACAATTTGCTGTCATTGACCACATACAGCTCGCGTCCCCGCTACTCCTCCAGGCCCCCAGAGCTGGCAACTTCTCCCCCAACTCCTGGGCCTTGTCCTTAGTCAATGCACCCCACCTGACCCTAGGAATACCAGACATAGCCCTCCTCTTCCTCCTCCACCTGATCTCTAAGTCCATTATCAAAAACATATGTTGGGTCGTAAGGTTCTCACTCGGAATGATCTTGTAATTCGTGCATAGACCTCTATCACATTTTCGGAGAAGCAGATAGTCAATCTGGATCTTGGCCATCGTACTCCAAAAGGTTATCAGGTGCTCTGCCTTCTTCGGGAAACACGAGTTAGCAATCACTAGCTCAAAAGCTTTAGCGTACTCCAGCAGCGAAGTACCTCCTCCGTTTCTATCTCCAAAACCGAAGCCACCATGCACACCAGCATATCCCCTAGGCGACCTCCGTATGTGGTCGTTAAAATCACCCCCTATAATAAGCTTCTCGATGGACGGTATACCCCGCACCAACCCATCCAAATCCTCCCAGAATTGTCTTTTAACCCCTCGTCCAAACCCACGTGAGGCGTGTATCCAATATATTATTCCGGGGTCAGATCTTCTTGTTAGACAGATTGAACAAACATTTCTCCTTGACGTGGAAAAAATATGAGAGTGTTGATGATCTGGGCCAAAAAATTCACATCTTACGCTGTTGGACATCTAAAAGCTTGTCGTTTGATGGTAGATGGTGATGTGGACGACACAATAATGCATGAATCCAAATAGCATCTAACGACTCATTAGTGAGAGGAACTGGTGGAAACTAGCATATTATTTTGAGCCTATGAAACTGCTAAACGTTTTGGATACAAAAAAAAAAGGCCTCTGCCTTTCGCATTTCAAAATGCAGCACAACTTTGCATCTTGTATCTTGAAAACTGCAGATTAACAAAAATCTCTGGTTGAAGATTTGTTATATGCTTGGAGTACTCAATATGAAGATGTCTGATGTAGAGTACAAAAGAACTAAAGTACCTCTAAGGTTTTGGATATAACTAGAATTCAAAGTCTCCACATTGAGCCCTACAATCATGACCATATTGTTAGGCCATAAGAATTGTAAATGCAAGATATATTTCCAGAAGATGATGAGAGATCTTCCTCACCAAACAGCTGCAATAATTATATATTGTTCATGCCAATTGAGATTGTATTGGTCTAAATTTGGGCGGCTTGATAACTGCAAATAAACATGGTCGAGGACAGAGCGGCACAATGGAGAGGAGTCGTCTTAAGAGGGATTATTGCCGAGGTCAAGTAAAGGGAGCAAGGAAGCAACAGTAGGATAGGTTTAGTAATAGACATAAGGAATATTACATTGGATATTCTGTATGTTGTACTTTTTAGGGTTTCTTAGGGATATCCCTTATAAATAGGAAGAGATAAAGAACAAAGAGGATCTTCACTTTTTGATAAGAGCACATTGTAAAGGGTTGACAATAAAGAATACACACAAAGGCTTGTCTTGTTCACTGAATACATTGCTCAACATACGTTGTTCACTCTTTGTTTACAAGATCCAAAGATTCCTTATCCATCCTGACTTTCCATTATTCCACGTTGCTGTCAGGAAGAAGAATCACCCAAGTCATCTAACATTTGGGTGATAAATTCCTCCTTATTACATTTATTGCCATTATCAATATTTATTGCATGCTTCTATTACTACATTCATTGTCAATCATTGAACGTATACTTGACATTTATTGCTCTTTAACACGGTCTCATTCCACTGGTCTCCTTCAATCTTAGATCTAGAATTTATTATGTTTAACTAGGATTCATCCTCCATGTCCTTATTAATTAGTTTAACAAAAAGCTTAACACTTTTCGGTCAAACAATTTGGGGTCGTATGTGGGGAGTTTCTAGTTAAATTTTTTGTTCCTTCAAGATTTAAAAAAAACGACAACAACCATCTTTTTCCCGTTTGCATGAACTAACAATGGCAGGAAAAGGAGATGAAACACAGAAAGCAGTAGTGGGCGTCACTGCCAACCTCTTGAACACCATCAACGAGGATGATAGAGAAAACGAGGAGAATGTGACGCCAAGTGCTACACTCAGGAGAAGTGACTCACCCCCCTCCCCTCCTGGAAGTGTAAACCGCTTCACGCGAAAGGGGAGCTTTCATATCCACAGCTGAGGAAGCGCCACCCACAATGAACAAACAATTGGAGGAATGGTTGACAAGTACTCTAAACAACATACTCGAAAAACCTGTTCAAATAGCGAATAGAAACGCCGCACGAGCGGATACCACAGCAATCGTAGACGAGCAACCTACTGAAGGTGGCAAATTTTAAGGGTGGAAATCATGGGTTACCTTATGGATTTCTCCTAACTCGGGTGTTCAGATTCTATAAGGTCCCCTTAGGGAATCCCAGAGTGGGCACACGCAAGCAGACCTTCTCTAAGACCACTCTAGAAGAATGTGAATGCATAGAAAGAGTTGGTGGAAGCATCTCGACCATTTCTCAGCTGATCAATGCTCAAATGTAGCCTCTGAGGAAATAAGAAGGCTGAGGGCTCGAAATGCCATACTGGAGACTCAGCTCAGTCAAGCTGCTAAAGGACCTGATTTTGTAAATGAGGAGGTTGCACGACTGACAGAGGAAAATTAGAGACTTCGGGCTCAATTACTTGAAGAACAACTGTCTGCAAATGCCAGACTGGACCTGGTTCTCAAAACCATTATTGTCTCTTCCTCCAAGCCTCCTTCCTTTAGTGTCCCCTATGATCCTCTTTGTGTCAAGCTATTTTTGCTCCAACATCTTGTGGCTGCTGTTTTACTTTTGTTTGCTTGTTGTTTTTGTGATGGCATGATTGAACTTAACCATTACTGCTCCTGACTTGCTCAGTCCAATGTAAACATTAATGAAACAGCTCCCCTTTCGTTGCTTGTACAATACTGTGTTCCTCTGGCTTCTCTTTTCTGTCATGTTGTGTGCACATATGTGGCATGAGCTAGCTGTGTTAGACTTCTTTGTGCTTATTACCTGCTTGTGATCTTCTCAATAACTGTTCTTTTTAATGATGCCAAAAGGGGGAATATCAGTGTGTATGTGAGGGATTAAGGGGGAACTAGCACATCTGCGATTAAGGGAAAATCACAAAAAGGGAGATCCGAGATTAAGGGGGAACTTCGTGTAGTTCTGGCATCTCATCTGGTTATTTCTGCTCTAAACAAATACTATTCATGCCTAAGTTTGCCATCATCAAAAAGGGGGAAATTGATGGGTTTTCAATGTCTTAGCCTTATACTTCTTATGTTTTGATGATCTAACAAACTTGTCGTGAAGAACCAGATAGAGAACCTGGCCCACAGGATATACATTTCATGTGAACTGGTCGAAGTCTGAAAATCAGCAAATGGATGAACGACCACAGGGAGGAACACAACAGGGACCTAGTGACCTGGTCCCTTAGGGTTCTCCGACACAAGCAAGTCAGTGACTGTACGCAATCAATATAAAGAGGAACACAAGAGGGACCTGCTCCCTTTGGGTTCTCTGACAGAAGTACAAGTCAAGTGCACAGCTGGAACGTAGCAGAAGAAAGTAACCATCTAGCAATTGTCATAGAAGAGGAACACAACTAGGACCTGGTCCGTTGGTGTGTCCTGACAGAAGTACAAAGTCCACTATCCAGCTGGAACGCAGCTGCCCAGAAGTGGCTGTGCAGACAGTACAGCAGTCACTTCTCATTGGGAAGAAGTGTACACCAAGAGTTGACATCACTATCCATTGTGATATCTTTTATGATAAAACAACCTGGTGCAGGACACACCACTCTTTGTGCATTCAGTGATATTCTCTCAAGAAACAAAAGTATTTCATCCGGCATTGAAGTCACTGGTGTGTCAAGAACAAGAAGACAACTCCACTAAGGATCAATTTCTAAATAAGTTTATGTACATCCGTAGTTGATTATTTATTCATCATTGTAATTCCTAGTTTGCTTTCTTAGAAGCGTTGTCTTAGGAACAAACCAAATTCGTAAACTTCTGAGTTTATGTTGTGACTAGGGATAGTCATACGTTTAAATCCTTTGTAACTAGGAGAGTTATAGAGTGGCTTGTGGTGGTTGCATCACAAGTTAGTTTGAAGTCTTTGCAATAGGGTTTTTGCAAAGTGTCTTGTAATAGGTAGATTACAAGTTAGTATAGTTAAAAGCCTACAAGAGTAGGTCGTGGTTTTTTGATCCCCTTGTGTGGGATTTTTTCACGTAGAAAATCTCTTGCCTTCTTTACATTCAGTCTTTACTGCATTCCATGTATCATCTCATAGAGGACCAGGTACTCTATAGTTTGGTGGACTCACATAAACTAACAATTGGTATCAGAGCAGGTTTCTCCTATCAGGCTAACACTTAGGAAGGATCCTCAATGGCTGCTCCACCAAACTTTGAAAAAGGACAATCAACCTATAGACCTCCCAGATTCAATGGTCAATACTATGGCTGGTGGAAGACCCGGATGCATAATTTTATGATGGCAGAAGATTCAGAGTTGTGGGACATCATTTGTGATGGTCCAAGGGAGAAGAGAGTACAGCGACATTGACAGAAAAACTGTAGAAAAGAACTATCGTGCCAAGAAAATCTTGATGTGCGGCATAGGACCTGATGAATACAACAGAGTATCAGCTTGTGATACTGCCAAAGAAATATGGGAAGCCTTACAAATAGCACAATATGCACACCATATTCACCTCCATCATAAATGAGCTTCACTCACTTGGAGATGTCATT